AGATCCTACAATTGTTGGTTTTATCTGCTGGAATGATCCTCAGTGTGAGCATTTTTCCTGTTAAACCTCGGTCAAGATTCTAATGACACCCAATGGGAGGCTCAACAGGGGAAGATCGTCTTGCTGTGCTGTATGCTATTTATCTGCTTGCCTTGATCTCCTTGATAATCCGGAAGAATAAGCTTTCAATTGTTCTACAGCATTTGGAGGTGCTTTTAAACAAAGGAAATCAATTACCCATTGTCTACCTCATTGTGAACAGTTTTCTTGTTTATTCTTGGTGGTTAAAGATTATATTTACACACAATGGAAGGCTCAGCAGGGGAAGGTGATCTTGCTGTGTTGTATGCTATTAATCTGCTTGCGTTGATCTCCATGATAATTCAGGAGAAATGGTTAACAGTGTCAACAGCGTGAGCAGTTTTCCTCAGCGGATGGCCCATCAAGAGATGGTATTCCACAAGCAGTGGTGGAGCCAAAGGGGTGCAGGGGGAGGAGGGCAGCCGCGCCCCTCCCAGCCCCGAATGCAAGTTTTTCGGGCAAGTCTTTCATAACTAGGTTACAAATTCAGCCAACCTCAAATATTTCACCTCCTCCGCGGACGCCAACTTGGCTCCGCCACTGCCAACAAATCTTTAGACTTGCATAATGAGTCGAAGCATTCCTTGGGTTTGCCTTATAAAACCATTCATAAACTCAATCATATTGTCATATGGACACAATACAAAGCTATAAACCTACCATATTACTTAAAGGTCGTGTTAGTCTGAGACTCTTATAATGTCTTGGACTAGTCTGAAACTAACCGAATCTTGCTTAGCCTCTGATAGATATTTGTCCAAAACCTCCCGAATCTTACCTAGCCTATAATAGTTATTATACTAGTCTGAAACTATTTTACTAGTTTAAAACTAGCTATTTTACTTATCCAAAACTAGCTTACTCTTATTAGCCTCTGATAGCTATTTGACTACTCTGAAACTCGCTGACTCTTACCCAGCCTCTGATCGCAATTTTACTAGTTTAAAACTAATTTACTTTTACTAGCCTGCGATATACACGATAGATAGTTTCGGATTAAACCCTTGTTATGTGTTTGATAGATATGTCGATTATGTTCTTATACAACAGCCCTTCAAATTGTTACTCATTATCATAAAGCATTCACAATGACCTTAATACCGCATTCGTATGTTTACCTCTGCTTTGACCTAGACAATGGAAATAACATAATGTAAACACGAATATCCTTTATAAAATTGTAACACGGGTTAGTCGTTGCACTGTTTCACTTAATACATTGTCCTTAAAATACATTTCGTTTTGTCCTTGCTCGTGGGTGGAATGGAACACCAGTCGATATACATAAAGCGTTAATTGTGCTCTGAAAATATATGGCCCAATTTTTGCACTTTGCAAAATTACTAACATATAAATATATTTCGTTTCGTGTTATCCATTCCTAATATTAGATAATTGAACGTTTACGACACGAAGAAATTTGACATGATCCAAGCTTCGAAGTTTGATGGACAAAAATTAAAGAAACAAAATGGAAACAGTTTTAAGCCTAGCTTTCGAAAGTTAAGTGACCAACAGTCATTTTCCCTACTGACTCAAATCTAAAAGGGCATAGATATCCCAAAAATCAATTCCTTAAGTTTGTAAAAGACTGAACACCGAACACATAATATCACTATGCGATTTAGTTGGTCAAATCAAAATCATATTCCTCGGCTTCTAATGGTAATTTTGGTATGATTTAATCCTTAAAATGAACTTGTAATATATGCCTCGGGGCAATCCAACTTTAAGTCTTATATGAATGATATGCATCAGTTCAGAGCTAAAAATAGCCGATTACTAAAAATGTTTATATAACTGTCATACCCATCCTTCCAAACCGTCAAATAAAGACGACGTCTCAATATTTATATCACATCTTTAATATACGGTTCACATAAAAATTCCCTTTCGTTTGGACAAGCTGCTTACTATTGTGGTTGAATCAGGGAAAGAAAATGCATAATTTAGTTCATTTTACGGGTTACAAAACCATTTAGAATTGCCTCCCTTTCTCGTGCCTTTTCTGCTCTCTTCCTTTCCACCTCTCGTTTCCTATCTATTCTAATTTCCCTGTTCCCGTTCCATTTCCCTCAATCTTCCCCTGTCTTTACCCCTTCGCCCCGCTTCTTTTACTACCTCCTCCCTATTTTCCATTATACCCCTGTCTCTGTCCTTCCATCCCATTTTAGTTTCCACCTTCTTTCACCTTTCCGTCTTTCCCTCACCTTCTCCGATCTTCTTTCACCGTTTCTCTTTACCTCTCCTCCATGTGCCTTCCCTCTCTCTTCTCCCCCTTTGTATCTTCCCTGTCTCCTTCTTCCTTCTCCATTCTCTCTCCTTCTACCCCTCATTCTCCTTCCCTCTCGTCTACCTTCATTCCCTCTCCTCCTTCGCTCCATCTCTCCTTCATTCTCCTTCTCCGCTAGCCTTCCATCTCTCCTCTGTCATTTATCCTGTCCTTTCTCCTTCCCTCTCGCCTTCCTTAATTCCCTCTCCTTTCTCCGCCTGCCTTCGCTCTCTCTCTCCTTCTCTCTTATCCCTATCTTTGTTACTTCTCTGTCTACTTCCTCCTTCTTCCCTCTCCGTTCTCTCCCCATCTCCCCCTCTCTTCCCTCGCTCTCTTTCACCTATATTCCTTCCTTCCCTACCACCCCCCTTCTCTCTGCTCTTCCTCTCCTCTTCCTCTCCTCTCTTCCTCTTCCTCCTATTACACAATACATACAAGATAAGGTAAGAACACAATCACGCTTATTTTAATCCTCATTTAAATAAAACAGATATCAATGTTTAAATATCGTGTACGCTATATAGTATATCTTGTGGCGTGTTGTATTAATTCATACTATTGTTATCTCTGAGATAATTTCGCAATGTTTTTATATTCAAAGTTTATCTTGTATGACAGACGGTTAATATTTGTTTACTGGACAAATTTGAATATCATAAGGCACAAATAAAAACAAAAGATACGTCTTAGGTCGTCAAGGCGAGGCTGAGCCATGTTTTCTTACTAAAAGGGATTATTAACAGGTTTTCTAATTTTTTATGTGTATTGGGGACACTGATATCATCAATTTGCACAGTTTTTTGTCAGACTTCTGCAGATTTCAAAATTCCACTTATATCAAGCGTTTTATGGTTTTATAATATCTTGGCACATTTGCCATATTGTCGTCATAAATATCTAGTTTTAAGTAGATCCTTATACATAAAGGCCATACGACATCCTGTCCTTGATACGGTAGATGCGGATAACAACCTTTTCGTGTTACCTACGTCATTATTCAATTTGATCAATTACCAATCGGGCTACAGCCATCTCTCACTTTTAAGAAAGTTATGAAACCACGTTTTATTGCCAGATGATGAAGCAATAATTGACATCTGGGTCTGACCTCGAGGTCAAGGTATGTGTGAATGAATTTGTATAAGGATTAAAAACCCCATCCCATATCAAGTCAAGATGTGCCGACCTGAAATTTCGTTGATGCTCGAAATTATTTGCTAATGCCCGCTGAAGAAACGTCTTTTTATGTGTATTGGGTGCACTTATAGCTTCCATTTGCTCCAATCCTACTTCCAGTTTGACTTCTGTGGTTCCGGCATTAAAATATCTATAACTAGATTATGATGTCACTGTCACGATGCCTTTTAATTAAGTGGAATTTTTGCAATAATGACATCATATTTGGTCAAGTTTGTCTAGAATTACAGGACTCATATAGTCGTCAAACGGGATATAGAAGTGATTCACGTGGAAGTTTTATCGTACTGTATCTAATAAAAATAAGATTTCGATTTTCGTTGTTTTTTCTGATATTTTTTGTCTCAATTGTACAAAAAACCAACAAAAAACAGAACGAAATTGTAACTTTATTTGGAAGCGAAGCGTATCAGCTTCTCATATAAAAACAAGAAAACCTTAAAAAATCATTTGATATAAGAAAGGGTCTTCGTAAAGGGTAGCGGTTCAAAAATGTTCGACATACAGTGTTTTAAGGGGGTCTCAGTCCTATAAAATGTATTTCCCAAAAAGTATTCAATGCCCCTATGATGTACGATACTATAAATAGCGTTCGATTCTATGGCGTACATTCGTCATACTACACAAATAAGAGCTAAATACTTCTACTTAAAGTAATCTACTAATTGTATTGTTTTCCATAGAATTTCTCAATTAAAGTATATTATATATAAAAGATAAGACGAAAGCTGAACAAAATGACAATATTTCGCGCGAACATGACTAGAAGTATTCATTTCCCCGCAGGCGGTTGGCTTTAACACTGTCGTCCTGCTTCCGTACAGAAGTAACCAATGAGAAGGTCGGGTAGCGTCACGTGACTTGGGTCAATAAATCTCTTGTCGTGTAAATACCTATTTATACCTTCAACACGACAGGTAGAGTTTCAAAAAGACACAAGACAAAATGTTGTTACTCGTAGAGGGATAATATTGTATACAGAGTTTAGAGTTTTAGCTCTGTGGACACCGTATACCAATTTTTGTGGTTTCCAGTGGACGTTATCTTCTACCGAGACGGCAGTTGTTTGTGTTCTTGAGTTCTCAACACACGTTTTGTGGTACTGTTTCTACCAGGTGAAGTCGAACCACGGCGAATTCTCAGCTGGTGACACACTGTCAACACAGTTTTATTAAAAGTGGGACATTCTTGAGGTCAGTCAATTATTGGCAACTAGAAATCTATGGACTTCATTTACACGCCATTTTTAATTTTAAACTTTGGTTAAATTTGGACCTGAATTGTAAGAAGTTATTTGGATTTTTTAAGTAACCGGATCTATATAGGAAGTGAAAACGTGGTTTTTGTTATTAATAGAAATTTTGAATTCGACGTAAAATCGGACTTTAATTGTGAATTTTGATTTTAAAGTGGTCAGTCGGACATCAACAAAATGAGTATCTTTGGCTGGAAGAAGAACCTGAATATCAGTGAGAGGGACCCATGTTACAAAGTCAGATATTTGGGCAATGTCCAAACCGCCATGATGAAAGGCGACGGCTGTGTGGACAAACCAGTGGGAACCATCTGGAACAACTATATGCGCAGCTCCCATGCTGGATTAGAAATGAAGCTCAATATCACTGGATCTGGTCTTAAGGCGCATACCAAGGAACAGGGATTGACGGAGTACAGAGCTCATCGAATTTCTTACTGCATAGCCCATCCCAGCTACCCACGACTTTTCGTTTGGGTTTACAGACACGAGGGCAAAAGAATGAAGATGGAACTACGATGCCATGCAGTTTTGTGTAAATCTGAAGCTAAAGCGAAAGCAATGGCCGTGCAGTTGCATCAGAAGCTGTCGTTTTCTCTGAAGGAATTTCAAAGAGAGAAAATCAGGAAGCAAAATTCTCGCCTGGTTTTGGAAAGAACCAAATCGTTGCCCATTGCCAACTCGGTGCTGCCTCTAAGGAAGCAATTCCTCAGCACTGGCACGAACTTTAAGCCGCCAATTTCGAAATCAAATACGGCACCACGATTGGGTTCCATCACAGAAAATCACCAAGACGAGGAACTACACATGCTGGCAGAACTCGCAGAGGAATTCGACGAGAATGAAAATTTGGACTTATCGAGCATATCGGACGAAAGTGAAATTTTGGACGCTTTAACATTGGATAATAATGACAATATTTCTGTAAATAGTGAAATGCGAAGGCACATCATCGACTTACAAATGGGAAATGACATTGATTCCTTACAACAGGAGGAGGACGTGCGTTACTGTCTCGACGGATCCGTAAGTACCGACTCCGACGAAGACAGTGCGGAATCCGGCTTCATGGAAGGTGATACTAAGGACCCTTTCGTCAGCGACGAGGTGTCGGAGGAGGGCAGCGTGTGTGAAATTCCTATTGCGAACAATTCGGACGAGGAAACTGGCTCGATATCGTAGGTAATAGTCGTAACATGACAAAGATGCGGTACTTGAAACGCATGTAACGTATGTACTAGTCAATGTGACGGGGCTGGTGGTATGACAGGAATGTCGTAACAAAATATTTACGGCCTTACGTGTGACGTAATCACTAACGATAATCACTTTTAAGTGACTTTGGGTGACGTCCAATTAAAGATCTTTAGAACTTACAAACAATAATATGGATCGGCTTATAGATTAACGTATTGTGTATATTTGCGTTAAGAAATGTCGAAAATATCCCGGTCTGAAAAGGTAGTGGACTATTTTAGGGGAAATTTTTAAATCTGTTTTCGACGTATCCCTGAATAGTGTATAGATTATATTGTATTCCAATACGATTTGCAAATATCTGATAGCAAAAATAGCAAAATCGAACTAGCAATCGTTCAAAATTTGTATATAACTTTGTCAAATTTGGTGCATTTTTCAAAAAAAAATTACATCGTTGCAATTTCAATAGCAAATTTTAAAATTGGCAGATCTGCCGCCCAAAGCAAAATGTATTGTCTATATAATGATCATGAATTTGCAAATTGTAAAATAAATATATACATAAATAAGGAATCAATTAGCAAATTTGTGTGCTAATCATGATAATTGTAAATAATGGACAAATTTGTATAAAAACATCAATTATATTTATATTATAACGTTATTTATAAGTTTATTGAGTATTTAAAGGGACATGTTCAACTAATTGTTGGCTTTATGAGATAATAAAGTGTGTATGTAGACGACAGTGTCCCTTTAAATTACCACGTGATAAGATGACAAAAGGAGTTTATACTAAGTGCAATTTAGGGATTAATTTCAAGTTACACTTTCATTAAGTAGCACTAAGCACTTAATTTCGTACCTAATTAAAGTGTGTTTGTCACTTAATTGTAAAAAATACACAAGATTATAGAAGATTACGTTGTTTTTACGTTAAGTATTTTGTCTGTTAATTTACAGTATATTTAATTGGGTCTTTCAAGCATTCATTTCAGTATGCCACTCTGCTAAATTAATTTTTCTGTATATTTACAGAAATATTTAACAGCGTTTTAAGCATTCACTTCACACATTTTTCTGTATTTAACAGAATTATTTAATAATGCTTTAGATATCTACTGCACATAATTTCTGTGATATTTACAGACAATTTTAACAGAGTTTATGCCTTCGCAGAAATTGTGTCACTGAACTTTTTGCTATACCAGTATCGCTTTGATTGCAAACGAACATGGAAACACACTTTTTGTTGTTGTAGATATTATAAGTGCAGAATACTTATGAAAGTGTAACTTAATGTATAGGGTACCCATAGTCTTACTTAACTTACTTAACTTAGTCAAGTTAAAGATGTAATATTCGGTGATATTTTCTATAACTTAAGTAAAATTTGTGTATTATATCGTTTTTCGTGACGCAAAACTTTTTCTGAAATGATACGCTATTCCGTTACTTTTGTATATGGTTTCTAAATACAGAATGTGACCCAATTATAGAATGTTTACGTCCACATTTGGAGGATGGTAACAAATTCAAAACAAGAGGATGGTAACAAATTCAAAACAAATTTTTAAACCATATCAAAACAAATTTTTAAACCATATCAAAAATAAATTTTTAAACAATATCAAAAACAAATTTTTAAAACTCATGAGAACTTCATAACAATTTGTAACAATATCAAAACAAAAGAAATTTATTTGAACATTTCAATACTATTTGTAACAAAATCAAAACAAATTTTTAGAACATTTTCAAAACAAATTGTAACGATATCAAAACAAAATTTAGAACTGTATCAAACATCAAAACAACTTGTAGAGAGATCTGAAAACAATATCAAAACAATTGTAGATTTTGGTAACAGTTTCAAAACAATTTATAGAGAGTTTGATAACAGTATCAAAACAATTTGTAGAGAGTTTGATAACAGTTTCAAAACAATTTGTAGAGAGTTTGATAACAGTTTCAAAACAATTTGTAGAGAGTTTGATAACAGTTTCAAAACAATTTGTAGAGAGTTTGATAACAGTTTCAAAACAATTTGTAGAGAGTTTGATAACAGGATCAAAACAATTTGTAGAGAGTTTGATAACAGTGTCAAAACAATTTGTAGAAGTGATAACAGTATCAAAATGTGTCGAAATAACCTTCAGCTGTTATCTAAATAAGACCTACATATGAAGACACAATAAGATAAAACTTATGTTTTTGTTAAACCCGGTTAACATTTCATCTCAAGTTACCCATAGATTGAGAATAAAGCATTACTACTTCCTTGTGGCGTAGATAAACCAGTCTACTTTGCCTTGTACGGATTCACAAGCTCTAAAGTCCTTAGGGTGGCAAAGTCGAAAGGTTGGATCGGCCTTAAGGAAGTGTTTTGCACTAATTTTACAGGCCAAATTCGTAGTTACGAAATTGTTCTAGAAACTTGTTAAGCAATTAGTTACGAAATTCGAATTTTGATACGTCATTACCTTCAATTATTTAACTTTATTTAGTTGTTATTAAAATGTTGGAGGTGTGACTTATAAGTTATATACGGACACAGCGTATGTAATCTTATATTTTACCTCCGAATTTGAATATATTTGTCGCTTCTTTGTTATACGTTCGATTATGTTTTTAATTTTCTGTTTATTACTTTGTTAAGATTTGTTTTTAGTATTTCGGACAAGTGTTTGACGTTTCGGTTCATTAAAATGTAACGTTCGATTTCGAATTGTGACCTAAGAGCTATTTACGGCAAAATTTAATTCATTATCAATTTTATTACTCTTTCCTTGTCAAAGTTTTGCCACACTTGGTTGGACTTCAATGCGATTAGGCTATGATTGAAAATAAACACAATACTGAAATGTATACTTCAAAGGTCAAATTTTGTAAATCAAGTTTCGCAATATTAATATTATAATAATATATACGGATTTGATCGTTTTCTTGTCACTTGTGTAAATAAGTATTGACAACACATAAAGTAATGACGTCATTGATATTTGTGTAGTATTTCGAAATTTCGAAAAAATAACGTCAACTGAAACGTAAAATGAGCTTTGATGGCAAGCGTACTTGATTTTGTTCAATGAAATTCGAACTTTATTTCGAATAATCGATCTTCACATTTTGGAAAAGCTTAGAAGCGATTTTAAAGATTTAAAACACCATTGTGGCCAACATAATTTCGTATCAGGTTGTAAATGGATTATGAATTTTGAAAAAACGAATTCTCACAATTTATTAGGGCATTCCACAATTATTGTCCTTTTATGGATTGTAACTTTTGATGAAAAATTTTAATGCATCTAGGCATTTATCATATATGACATAACGTCACCAGACAAATTGTCGCATGTTTGACAGCTGATAAATGAGCAGGAGCTATTTCGATACTAAATTTGGCTGTGTTTTATCCCTTTTATGGAGAAATTTTATATAAACCTTGAACTGTTTTTTTTTGGCAAATAAGAATAGATTGTTACACTTAATTTTGGCTCACATTTGGGTGGTTGAAAAAGTTTGTCAAGCTCATTTGGATGGTTAAAAAGTTTGTCAAGCTCATTTGGATGGTTAAAAAGTTTGTCAAGCTCATTTGGATGGTTAAAAAGTTTGTCAAGCTCATTTGGATGGTTAAAAAGTTTGTCAAGCTCATTTGGGTGGTTAAAAAAAGTTTGTCAAGCTCATTTGGATGGTTAAAAAAAAGTTTGTCAAGCTCATTTGGATGGTTAAAAAAAGTTTGTCAAGCTCATTTGGGTGGTTGAAAAAGTTTGTCAAGCTCATTTGGGTGGTTCAAAAAAGTTTGTCAAGCTCATTTGGGTTGCTGAAAAAGTTTGTCAAGCTCATTTGGGTGGTTGAAAAAGTTTGTCAAGCTCATATGGGTGGTTGAAAAAGTTTGTCAAATCATTTGGGTGGTTAAAAAGTTTGTCAAATCGAATTGGTTGATCGAAAACAATCGAATCCAGTCAAAAATCTTATGAATAGCTATTTTGTTTTGAAAACTGACATCACAATTTGGGTGATCTGAAAAGTTTTATAGATTCAAAACAATCGAATTCAGTCAAAAGAAAACATAGCCTACTAATTACATTTCGAATTGTCATGAAATTCATGACTGCAATTGGAATTCCAGTCACGAAATTCATGACTTCCATGCACAAAATGGAAATCTGCCATCTTTTGACAATTCGAATTAGGTGACTGTCATTAAAACGAAAACAATCGAATTCAGTCAAAACCAAGTAAAAATCGTCTTACATTTTTGTTTGTTTTAGCGTGTCACAAGTGACCGAAAAAAGGATACTTGAAAATAGTCACATTGTAAATATCAAAATTTGGTATTCACGATGTTTTTCTTCTTTCTTTTTCGAAGTCATGGGTGGTTTGAAAAGTCGGTTAGATATAATACAACACTTTCTTAAGTTAATTGTTAAACGTTACTTGTTTTAGAAATTTGTTTTTATCTTATACCCCATTATTTGTTATATGAATACGTTCATTGTTTTTGTTAAGATTTTGAAAAATGAGAATAATGAAAAAAAATGGCAAATTGTTATTTATAATGTTTTTATTGTGTATATATATATGTATATATCAGATTA